ATGAGTTGGCCGTTCAAGAACCCCTGGCTCTGAGTGTTCAGTGCGCTGGCTCTGTGTCCAACATGGGCCAACGCCTTCTTGCTCGCTCCCGTCAGGTTGAATCCTTGATGGCGGAGGTGGAGAGTCTTAAGCAGGAGATCAAACAGCTTAAGTACGAGAACCGAAGTTTGCACGTGCTTGCCAACAATTATTTAACAGGCATGAAGAGGAAGCTTGATGAGCTTGATGACCGTCAACGGTTTGCAGCTTTCTTCCAGAGGCACCTCTTTCCTGGGTCATCCAGCGTTCCACCAAGGTTTGGGGCCTTGAATGATCTATCTTCGGTGCCTCCCGCTCCTATGCCTCCTGCTCCGATGCCTCCTGCTCCGATGCCTCTTGCTCCGATGCCTCCTGCTCCGATAGTGTTGCCACGTAGTGGGGCCTCACGTACACAACCTTTGTAAAGGCTCCATCTTTCTGCCATGTTTAGATACAATTGTAATTTATCGAAAAAAAATCAATGAACAAGCAAAAGTTTTATTTACTGTATTGGGTTGCCTCCCAAGTAGCGCTTAATTTAACGTCGTACAGCCGGACGATGAACCCATTCATTCCAGGATATGTTCACGAATCGGATGAGAACTCCGAGTCATGAACTAGTACCTAAAACAAGAAACAAAACAAATTTAAGAATCTGGAAAAATAAAAACAAACGAAAATAAAACAATCCAAGGGATTAGCAAAGTTGCTAATCCCCGGCAACGGCGCCAAAATTTGATGCGAGAATTATACGCACACAAATTAAACCCTCTTTTTGTCAATTGTAGTATAAGTATAAGTAGGGATCGTTCTGGACCGGGGATTAGGAGGGCTTGTTAACCACTTGGATTTGACTTCAAAAACGTAAAAACAAGTTTAAAACACTATACTAAACTCGAAGAATGCAAAACTAAACATTTAAAACACTAAAACAAACCAAAAGACTCAAACAGCACCCAAAACACTCAAAACTGCCTTAAAAACACTTTCTGGGCAGTTTTGAGCACTTTGACTACTTTGGACGAAATTGGGTAATAAAATGAATCAAAACACTTAGAAACACAAACCAAAACACTTTCTAACTAATTTGAACAATACAAAGACTCAAAGGACTCAAAACAAGTTCAAAAGACTCAAAACTGCCTAAAAACACTAACTAGGCAGTTTCTGACCTTAAACCCAAATTTGGACGAAATTAAGTTGTAACTTGACTCAAGACTCTTAAAAAACACAAACTAAATTGATTTCTAACTAATTTGGACATTAAAGTAAGGGGGGATTGAGTTTTGGACGAAATTAAACTAATTGCACAGATTCTAATTAAAAACAGAATGTAAATATGAATGTGATGGATTTGAATGGATGGGATGACTAGCTAAGGGGTTCATCTCCACACATGTTACACTTGCATAATAAAAAGATTTCTAATTGCATTTCAATAAACCATGAATTCTCAACGCCCCGGGTTAATTAGGTCCGCTTAAATTAACCGTCAAGTTTTCCTTAAGTTAATGAATTGGATGATTGCATACGACAATCCAAAGCATTCCTCACAAGTTCCCTACATGAATTGCATAATAGAGATACAAGCAAGAATCATTAAGCATCATGAAAACTATAAGTGTTGACGAGGCATTCGTTACTATGATTGCAAGAAACTTATGCCAAGAATATGTTTAACACGATTGTTTATAAGCAACCTCCACTACTTGTGAATATAAGTTCATAACTATTACGTGAAACTCACTTATATTCTAGCGTCAAATTCATGCATGAAAATTAAGCGTTCATTCTTAATAAACATACATAAATAGGTTATCAATCAAACAGTTAAACAAATTGAATTCACAACTTATGAAACGTAATTAAAAGTAATCAAATCATATTACAAACATAAACATAGTTTCAAATCACCCCTAGCTAAAGGGGGTTTAGTTCCTCATAACTTTGAAATCAAAGAAACACCTAAACATTCCAACAACTCAAAACTTGAATTGTATGAACGTTTAAGCACTCTTTTCTTCCATTTCTCATACGTACAAAACAAAGAGAATTAAAATGAAACTTTGAAATCAAAGAAACACCTAAACATTCCAACAACTCAAAACTTGAATTGTATGAACGTTTAGGCACTCTTCTCTTCCTCGTTGTTGTAGCACAAGGTTTAAGGATAGGTTGGTTGGGGGGATGGAAGTGTTGGGGAATTATGGAAATGGATGAGGATTGGTGGAAATGGAAGATGGTTTTTGGATTCTAAGGGAGAGAAACTCACGGCTAGGGAAGTGTTTGTGGTGTGTTGTGTTGTGAATGAGATGATGCTTGAATGAATGAATGCAAAGGTATTTATAGGAGGAGTGGAGGTTTATATGGCTATTTGTTTAATGTGTTTGTGTATTATGATGAATGCATGTGAGTTAAAGAGGGAGAATGTGGTGAAATGATGAAGTAGGAAGGTGGAAATGCATGTGAGATGTTGGAAAGGAAATGGGAATATGAGTAGGCCATGGCATGGGAGTTGTTTTGTTGGTGTAAATATGCCATGGTTGCAATGATGAAGAATAAAGGGTGCATGTGGGGTGGAATTGAATGAATGCAAAGTGAATGAATAATGAAATGAGTTAAAGAGGGAGAATGTGGTGAAATGATGAAGTAGGAAGGTGGAAATGCATGTGAGTTGAAATGCATAGTTTAAATGGTTGAAATGTGTAGATGATTATGAGTATGATAAGTGATAAATGAATGATATGTGGTGAGTGATAAGTGAATGGAAGTGATAAGTGATAAATGAATGGAAGTGATAAGTGAAAGGTTTGATAAGTGATAAATGAATGATATGTGGTGATAAATGAATGATATGTGGTGAGTGATAAGTGAATGGAAGTGATAAGTGATAAATGGACTAGTTTAAAGGGCTAGGGTTTAAGTACATAGAATGGGCCTAAAATAGGTTGGTTTGCATGGCATAATATGTTTGATTGGGCTAGAGGTTTTCCATGGCTCAAAGAATTTGTTTGATTGGGCTAGGCCCTTTGTTTAATGTCCCCAAAGAGCATACAAGGCTTCAATTTCGTCCATCCTCTTTGCTCCATGATTAAGCTATCCAATCCATGCCCAAAAATGCTCCAAATAGCCTCAAAATGCACTTTCTTGCTCCCTAAGCCCTTAGAACCTGAAAACACACAAAAGAAGAATAAAGGACTAAAATAACAAGAGAAACATAACGTAAATGCACGAGAACAAGCCATTTAAGTCGCATGAATATGTTCCTATCAATATGGTAGCTTGTTTAATTTTGTATTACCTTGTGCGGGTTTATTGAATTGGTTTGAGATCAATGTTGTCTTATATTATTCAGGATTCTATTATAATTGATAAATGTAGTCGGAATCAGGCTTTATGTCCACACAATTGTTTTTTTTTTTTTTTAAATCATGAATAAATCCCTATTATAACGTCCAGATTCCTAAAAGGAGAACCTTAGGTCTATCAACTTTATCATCTGTGCATACTATAACACGTCATATATTATATAAATCTCAACAAGTTGACAATCATTCTCCCGGGTGTTATGTTCACCCTAATACTACAGCATTAACCAGAAATCTCCCATAATCTGTTGTGTTAATGATACGAAGCACAAAAATAGTTGAAAGTTTGGACTGAAACGCACACTTTAAAGTGTAAACATAGGAGAACAAAAAAAGATGGATATATAATGAGCAGAGAGTATCCGGAAGAGAGAGATTCTTGTATAAAGAGTGTCTTCCTATACTGATCATTATGTTATATTTCCCTTTTCCCTTTTCCCCTTTACACCAGAAGAATTCATGAGTGGAGTGAGAGCTATAACATTAACATTCTGGTGTGATTCGTGAAAAGCTTAACCCTAATATAGAGAGAAAGGGAGGGAGAGAGGGAGAGAGAGACAGAGAGAGAGAGAACGTAGTTGGTAAGCAATCGGTGCTAGTATAAGCTCTGCCGACAAGAATTTCTGTCCCGCCCACTAACTGAGCAATTAGAGAGGAGGCCCAAGGTGGTAATATATATGATAATACCATAATTCAGTCCACCATTTTTTTTATTTCTAGTCACTTCACTCAACCAAAAGTGAACCCCACTTGATTTGAATACTTGATTCGCTGTGAGGTGGATCTGTGGGTAGATGATTTTAGAGAGAGAGAGAGAGAGAGAGAGAGAGAGAGAGAGAGAGAGAGAGAGAAGAGAAGAGAAGAATTAAAAGGAGTTCAAATTTCAAACCGCTTTGGGGTTTTGAAATCATTTCAATTTATGTCTTCTATCCATTTGACCATATGATCCTCTATTAAATTGTTAATGTGGCATATGTAGGGCACATTTTCAGGATTCCAAGAAACCACACTTACACCATTACCAGTGGCGGATTTAAAATTCTAACTTCTAAGGTTCCGGTATAAAATTCAAGTTTTTTTTAGATGAAAACAACACATACAACGCCCAACATCTTTTTAGTCTTTTTAATGAGGCATTTTGTCAAACACTTTGGATGTCTTTCATTGTCTGTCAAGCAATGATGAGCGCCTACCAAATGTTGTCAAGAGGGCATGTTGAGTTCTTTCAAAGTGCCCTTGTAGAGTTTTGTCAATAACCCATGCCAAGTGATGTCGATGCATTATGCCAAGTACTGCAAGAAATGCCCAACAATCATTTTATCGAACACTTGGTGGGAACAAAAATGTCTCATACCATATATTCAAAGGATCCATGGAGGATCTTCATCAACATTTTTTCTAGCTTCCGGTGGATCTCGACCGCCTTGGTCCCTTTATGGATTTTCCCTTGACCATTGGCACCAAACTATGTGATTAGTAATCCATGATGACAAGTTTTGGTTCATGTGGTGCAAGTGTGGCTTTCATACCAACTCATGAATAGATTCTACGTATGTCATTAACTTGGGAATTCTTTTGCTACTCATCTAATAGTAATAAATACGATGGTGAGCATTACTATCACACGAGGATGGTGAGCAAAAATGCACCACCACTAACTTAATAATAACCAAATAGTCATACATCCAGAAGGCATAAAATCAAAGGATGCCGATAAATACACCAATTTCCATGACCACTACATGTTAAAAATATAACTTTCAACTCAAAGAGTACCTTAAACAAGGACCACAAAAATATGCCAAACTTGGTTAACTGGTTGTGGCATCATTCTCAGGCATCTTCTCTGCTGCTTCATGCCGACAGTCTTCTTTTACACTTGGCTTCTTTTTCAACACCTTTCCTTGCAATCATGGGCAGCATCCACCCAATAACTACTCTGCAAGAACAACTTTCATTCATCAAGTTTTACAAAGTTTAAAAGATAAGTTACCCTTAAAAAAACACATATAGCTCTCTCTCTCTCTCTCTCTCTCTCTCATTTGATTCTTTTTCTTTTACAAAAAAAAGGACAATTAGTGGTAAGCCATAGTTATCCAGCCCTTCTGGTTCCGGAGAGGCTATGGGGAATTTCACCATGTCCATAGCCACAGTCAAGTAGACTCTCCAACTCAGAGCATCAAACCCAGGACCTCCCACATTTTTTTGTTTACTGGGGAGCCGCAGTCCGCACCCAAATCATGGAAAACGAAAGCTCCCTGATCCAATCTCCATGGCCAAAACCAAAGCTCGGAAAACGACTTCCACTTCTCACTTCTCAGTTTTCGCATTTGTGATGTGGGAACTCCACTTTTTCAAACACAAAAACCAGAACCAAAAGGAAAGGGATTGTCTATGCGGTATGTGCTTCTCCAGCTCTAAAGCTTTTTATGCTTCAGGTTTTTCTTTTTTACAAGGCTCTCCATCTGTTGAGTGTTGACCCCCACTCCACACATTGTGAAACTCTGGCTTGCTATTCACAAAAAACCCATCACTGCAATTTTGCAAAAGCTCCCTCGGCTTCCCCCTCTCTGCGAACAAAACTTCATTGCCGAAAATTTCAGGTCAAAAATCCTTTCTTGGATCCTTTTTTGGCAAACTCTTCTTTTGTCATAGTCCAAATGGTTATGCTAACCACCAACCATTTTAGGGTGCCCTCTCCAGTCCAACGATATCTTTGTCAAATGCTTCTGCAGAGACAGAGAGAGAGAGAGCATAAAATTATGTACAGCTGATTAGATAATTCCAAACAGACAACTCCCCAGTGAATAAAGCTCAAACAACAATAAAATTCAAGTCCTTGAGGAAACTAACAAAAAACAGTAAAATTCAACAGTAGAAATTGAAGGACTGCAGTTTGTAACTTCTGGTGCAGGGATTTCTGGTAAATAGAGATATTGATAAGAAACAAGATCAATTACTCATTTTGTCGTCTTGGTATGAGGATGTGGAATGAGAACTGCACATAGGCAAATACGGACTGCCCTCCACCTAGGCAAATAGGGACCGCAAGAGCTAGACTGTCAAGGAAAAAGATAAATTCTAAGCTTTCGGGTGAAACCCTTCTCAAGCTCTCTGATTACAGATCAAAGAAAAAGGGCTGAACATTTAAATCTAAAATTTCAATTGGACTCTGAGATGAACTTTTTCGGACAGAAAGTTGATTCTCTTTGAGTTTATATATAATACTTCATCAATAATGGCAACATGGAGAAGCTATTATAGCAATTGAATTATACCGTATTCAGAAAGAAGAGAAATCACAGAATTGCTTCATCATTTTTTTTATTTTTTGTTTTGTTTTGTTTCGTTTAAAGTTCTAACTCTAATTTAAAAGAAAAAATTGAGCGGAGATTTAATATTAAAACAAGGGAGAATAATAAAACCTTCCCCTTTATAAACATATTATATATCTCAAAGTACTTGAGTTGCAAAATTTTACAACATTCTTCCTCTATCTTCACAAACAAGAAGAGTTTCTTTTGAGCAAGCCCAAAACTTCGAAATTATACTGGGGTAAAATTGGACACTGGCTCAAATCATGAGGCTGTGCAGTCCTAGAAATACAGATTCAATCCCTACAGTATCCCTATTTCCCTGACCTTGCATCCCTAAAATCTTTCTAGAGAGTAAGTAAACAGGTACAACACGAAAAAAAAAAAAAAAAAAAGTGGAAAGAATTCAATATATCCTACAAATTTCAATTTCTACTTGAGGAAAAAATAATGTTACCCTGAGGATGCATCAACAAGAACTTCATTCAACACATCATCCTCACCTTTTGCTAAGGCAAGTAGCTCCGCATCCTTGTCTTCATCGCAGGAAAAATCCCGCCTTTCGAGCTTGGAATGAGCTGCAATGAATATCAATTTCTGTGCCTTGTCCATTCCCACCCTTGAGTGGCCATGGGCAGACACCCATCTCAATAGAGACCAATTGCATTTGAACCCACACGACGTTGCATGAAGGAAGATGAGCCTAACTGCAACTTTCCCTAGTGACTTAAACTCGGTGAGGTGTGTTTCCCACACAAGCCTACTGCTCTGTGGGTTGGCAATTCTCATCTGCCCTGTAATGGGGTCCCTCTCCTTCATCTGTACAGCACGCGCATATACCGGATCAAGCCCTTCTGTTCTCCATTTCATGAGTTCCATTAGTGCTATATGGGCCTCCTCCCTCGACACAAGCCGGGTTATAAGCTTGTCCACATCCTTCTCCTGCTCTGGCCTCAACAACTTGAATGGTGGAAGATACTTCCCACTAGTGTCCCTAATCAAATAGAGCGGATCAAGTATAAACGCAGCCGCCCAAGCAGGATGATAATTCTTCCTGAACCGCCCTTCAATCACCTTCTCCACCGGTTCTTCTGGAATGTGGAAACTGGCACACCAATCCTTCACTTTTGTTCTTAGTTCATCCCAAAGTGGGAGGCATTTACCAACCAGCGGCCTCTCTGTCTCAATCTCTTGAGCCATGTCCTTGATCAACTTAACCAACGAATGCAGCGCCTCCAATTCATTCCAAAACCGCACATCCCCAATCATCTTGGCGACTTCTCTAGCCATTGGATCCTCCATGGATGCAACTTTATAAGACTCATCTAGCGGGACCAACTTAAGTGCTCTGGCTGAGCTCAGAATATCCTCAAGCAATACATACACTACTCCATAGTTAAGCATTTTGAACTCACGCAACGGCACTCTTAACAGCCCAGCATGACCATACTCCTGGGACTGATACTTATGAAAGCTACTCCTAACCTGAGACTTGTTATTCACGAAGTTCGCAATCTTAAAACAATTATCGGTGACATCCTTAAACAACGGAAGTTCCTTACTGAAATCCTTAATCAAACTTTTGAACCCCTGAAACTGACAAGAAAGATTAACCATCCAGTGATTCTGATTCTCTAAGTTCCTCAGTGCCTTGGATTTAAACTTGTCTGCTACTATTCCTACACACTGCTGCACAACATTCCCACAAATGCTTGTCACTGTCTCCCACAAAACGTCCTCGGCGTACTTCGAAGGCACAGAGCCGCCAACAAACACCGCCTTCCTGTACAAACTAGTCCCATTGGGAAGATTCAGAGTCAAATTTACAAGACCATCTTCCCCAAACGTACCAAAGCTCTTGTTCTTCCACCCATCAGAAGCAATCTGAAAGAACATGGCGTCACGAATTCGAGCCTCGGACTCAGCCTTTGCTTCCTCAAACTTGGCATCGAGTCTCGACCCGGTGAACTCCCGCCGGGAAAACGCCGGCAGACCCACGTGGTTGAGAAAAGCTCTGAACTTTGGGTGCTCGAGGCTCGAAAACGACACCGACCCACAAGACTCAAACACCCAATTGGCCAGAAAATCAAGCGCAAAGTCCACCTGAGTCTTACTCAGCGTTGGCCCAGGTGAAGTTTTGGGGCTCTTGAGCTTCTTAACGCTGTCCTCCAGCATCGCCAGAGCTCCCAAGTCCTCTTTCCCACCCGACAACACCAAATGCGGCTGGTGGGTCACCGCCGTATGCGCCGTCACGGTCACCGGAGAGTAAGTGAGCTCGCCGCAGAACCGGGTCGGGTCCACTATCGCGAGCGGCGGAACATGGTAGGACGACGTCGAAGCCGAAAAGGAAACGGTAGATGAGCTCCGCTTGCGGCTGTTATGGTGGACAGGTGCGGGCGACGGAGGCAAGTTGATGGTGGAGGACGGCGAGAGGGACGAAAAGGGTTTGGCGACGGAGTTGAAATTGGGGCAAGTCCCGCGCTTTAAATGCTCGGAGGCGGTGCGGGACGGGTTCGAGGCGGAGAAAACGGCGTCGCACAAGGTGCACCGGAGCTTCACCGCCTTGGGCAGCCCAGTGTCAGTGTTGTGGACCAACATAGGCTCCAAGTGAGCCCAGTACCAAGCCCCCTTCCCCTTTATCGCCTTCGTCCGTACCATCACAAGCCCTTCGTACCTCTTGTGCACGGCTTTCGCCGCCGCCTCGTCCGCCGATGCTGACGTGTCCACCCCCAGAACCCCCACTTCCTGCGTGGTGGTGTTGATGGTCGCCATTACCGAGCACCCGAGTGAGAAAAAAGCAGGACAGAGTTGGTGGCGCGTTCGCGAAAGTTCCACACTTTGAGAGGTCGAATTGCAAAATTATGCTATTGGGTAGTCTCATCTGACCGTCGCTGAAACGAAAACGGTGGCGTTTCGTTGGCGGTGGCATTTTGCCGGAGAAGGTGAAGGCAGCCGCTGGCTTCGGCGGGTCTCCATTACCCGACGCGGCGTCTGGGTAGACTGATGTGTTTCACTTCACTTGAGGTTTTTTTTTTTTTTTTTTTTTTTTTTTTTTTTGGGTACTCTGAGAGGTTCAGTCTCTGAGGGCAAACGAGAAATAGGGACAAAACCCAAGTTTATGTAGGTTCTTAGTGGTGTGCACGCGCCGCCGTGGTGAGTGTGGTGGAACACGGTTGTGATTAGTTGATGGAAATGAAAGCTACAACCGTGCGGTTGGAGAAATTTTTTATTGTGGCGGAAACATGGGTGATACATCATTTATTTTTATAAAAGTAATAGGAAATTTTATTTTTAAGTTATTAATTTTTTAACAATATATTTTATCATTTGTATAATAATACACAGTACATAATTTTATGTATCAATCACGGTGACAAATCTTCCCTGTACTAATAATACCACACTCGGTATCACACGAGGAGAAACAGTTGCTGACATCGGTCATCACGCACTCCTAATTGGAGCGTGACCCGCACGTGCCGTGGAGGGTGTTGAAGTGGTTTTTGCTTTTTTATATAAAAAACAATAATAATAAATAAAATTTCTATTCTTTCACCTTTTTGTTTTTGTTTTTTTTTTTTTTTTTGTGCTGTGGTCTTGTTGTGTGTCTTTAGTGGGGCAGGGCTTTCTTTGTCTGTTTCGTTTTTTGTTTTTCTCTTCTTTCCCCATATTATGCAGCATTTTTGTTTATTATTATTTTGTTTTAATTTGAGTTTTAACTCCACCACTTAACGAAAATTTGTGAATAACAAGTTTGATACTAAATGAAGTATGAATTCGATACTAAATTGTTATAGCTAATCAATTTGTGACTAGTTCAAATCTCTGACCCTTTAATGTAAATATTATTGTGGTATAGTACTTACAATATAGTGTTGTGGTATAATGATATCACTTCATTTATAAGCAAGAGGTAAAATGAAGTTGAATTCTTTAGATTCGACTCATATAGATGACAAGTTTGACACTAAATAAATGATGAGCACAATATATGTGACAGCCCGTCCCGGACTTTTCGTACAGTAGGGGTGAAATGACGATTTTGCCCCTAGTATGTTTGTTTCGTTGTGTGGTTGTTTTTGGAATTTGGTTGGTTGATTTTGGACCACACACACATCCACACTCATTCCTCTCTCCCTGCCCTGTCCCGTATCTGTCCCTCTCTCTCTCCCCTTCCTATCTTCTTCGTACGGACAACACCAAAACCATTGGAAACGTTACGGATCAAGGAAACAAACTACATATTTGTGCTCGTGAGGTCCTTAGGAGTTCAACCATACCCATTTCAGGTAAGGGAACCTTCATTTTCACGTCGAACCCGAGAGGTGTAAATCGGGGTACTGTTCATGCACACGTTAATTCTTGTGTTTATGGGAATTTCAAGCTTGTAGGAAGCTTGGTGAGGTCCTTAGGAGGCTCGGGGTGGTTCGTTTGAAGGTTTTGGACGTCGGGATCGTGAGTTACAGGTTTGGCCGGATTTGGTGGAGTTTTCCCAGCAAGATTCCGTTGGTTTTAGTGCTTGAAAGTGGTAAGGATTTGTTCCTGTAGTTGTAAGCTTCATTTTGGTACCAATTTCGTGAAATTTGGGTGAAAAACGAGTGAGATACGAAGTTTGGAAGTTTTCCCGGTTTTTCGGTGCCGGAGTTTGGCCAGAGAAGATGACGGAATATTCTGTCAGTTTGGACGGAATATTCCTAACGACATTAATGGAATCTGTTAGACTTAACGGAATATTCCTGACGGCGTTAACTGACGCCGTCAGTGTGCCAGGCACGTGCCTGCACGTGTGGCTGTGCCTTGGCCGGCGCGTGCGGTGTCAAAAAATTATTTTAAAAATATGGGGATGTTCGTGAGGTTGAGTAGATCACGTTAGTGTATTCACACACTCATTTGAGCATTGTATGAGAAGTTATTTCGTATTGTTGGTTATGTGCTTTAAAATTAACGTTTTTATAGTTGTTTCGCATATAGGTGAGACCTATCCCGAGGACGAGCGCAGTCACTCGAGGCAAGGGGGTTACGACCCTTCTACATACCAGTGAGTGGGCTTTTTGTTTTCCGTATATACCTATATACTTGTGTTTTTCCCAGAAAGTGAAATTAAACGCTTATACGCTTGTATGCCATGCATTATGTTTGCTCGTTTAATTATGCATTATTAGTTGCATAAATACATATGTTTGGTGCTGCGGACGCACAAGTAAGTTATGGTTTACATTTATGCTTAGTAGTGATATGAGATGCATAGAGAGCTCATAACCTGCACCCCCGGTATTAGTGCTCCCGCCCAGAGTTGGGCACAGTCCATCACATGATGTTCACCTCCCGCACCACACACTCATCTTGGATCCAAGTTAGGTGCACAACCCTATCGTGCAGACCACTTTAGGTGGTTCCGACTCGTAGGTGACCCGCGATTATTCGCCCAATCTTCACGTGATCGTAGCACTTGAGCGTACTTATTTACACCCAATCCTGTCGTACAGACCACTTTAGGTGGTTCCGACTCGTGTGCAGGTGTAGTTAGTGAGTTGGAGATTTGAGCTTTAGATTCAGCCGTACAGGTCACGTTAGGTGACTCCAGTTGACAGATTACATGGCATTGATTGGCATTACCTGAGTACTTGCATTTTATTTAGAGACATTTGACATGGCATATTCCTGAGCATGACTTATATATATACGTATATATTCTATTTTCTGGAAAGTATACAGTTTTAACGGCAAGGGGTTAGAACTTTGTTTATGAAATGATTTTTGAAAAGCTTTGTTTTTGTCCACTCACGCTTTCTGTTTTGCGCCCCTCTAGGTTCTAGTTTGGCTAGCACTTTTGGTGGCTCCCCAGAGGATTTCTCGGCTTATCTGACAGATTATCACCAGTGTAGGACCACCTTTGGGTGTGTTTATTTAGTGTTGTTTCTCCCGGACTGCACTAGGTCTTCCGTGCTCTGAACATTGTTTTTCACACTTACGCTTGCACATGTATGTTATTTACACTGTGTATAGCTTGGTTTTTATTTATTCGTACTTTCATTATTATTTCTTAGCTTCCGCACTGTGCACATGGTTACGTCACTTCCACGTGACGGCCAGCATGCCATAATCTTGGTCGGGGTGTGTCAATATCAAATTACACAACATTTTTGTATTTTGTTGTAATTGGAATTTTTAATCTACCACTAAGTGCATAAACATATTCCACTTTATTTATAAGCAAAGGGTTTTAAATCGATTCATATGAAGGAAAAATTCGATAAAAATAATGATGAGTTCGATACAAAATTATAACTAACTAATTAGGTTACTAGCCCAAACCAATCCCTCCTTAATATAACTATTATCGTTTTATTATTTGTACTCTAATTTTAACAATTTTTAAATGAAAAAATGGGGACCATTTCTAAACCTTTTTTTTTTTCCACAACTTAATTTGGAGTGTTCCCTATTGTGACTTCTTGTTCATGTGGTTTTTATTCAGGATGGGGACATATAAGAGCAGCCTAGGAATTCGATGAATAGAATTTTGCCTTGAAAAAGCACCAAATGCCTTTATTTCCATGCATCTACTAGTATCCTTTCTATTTATATCTTGTTAATGTTTTTATTATTTCTTTGTTATTATTTAATTGTAAAATACTCTTTATTTTCATATTTTAACTTCAGATTTGGAGTGATTTTCAAAATAACTTACGATATTTCAATATTTTTATATTGCATTTTAGTTTTTTAGTTGTTTTAAATTTACTAAATTAGTAATTTAATAGATGTGAAGGTCATATTGTACCACATGAACCAAAATCTTCTCCTCAATCAGTCTTCGTAAAACAACCAATCACATAAATTGGTATGACAAACGGGAGGATAGAAACTAGAAAAGAAAGTCTTATGTATAATTTTGAATGAAAGCGATGCAAGTGTGGTTCTACACAACTTAAAAAGTGAGTCCAATGTAAGCCACATCATCAATTTGGCAAATGATTATATTGTGAAAAAAAAAAAAATTCATAAGGCATAAATTGATACAATTTCAAATTGGATAGTACAATTTGAACATGAATGACGAAAAATGTAATTACCCTTATGTTTTAATAAGAATAAACTTGATCACCAACTAACTGCAAATATTTCTATACATTTTATTACAAAAAATAAAAAAATAAAAAAAAATTCTCAAGTTCAAATGCTAATTTGAAAATTTTGAAGAATTTTACATAAGACCAACTATAAGAGTCGAAAATAAAATCTTCAATTTATAATTGAAGAGAATTACTGCTAAATTGTAGTATTAAGTGAATTGATATCAAGTCAGTTAGTATTACAATCTAGTGGTATTTTTCTTCATTTGTAAGTGAGAGATCTTAGGTTCAATTCTCATCAAATGTGAATTTGAACCATATTATTACTAGTCCATTGCGAGGCTAAGAAAATGAAAGTGACGATACAACCCCTAATTGTTTAGTTTTTGAAATCTATGTGGGGGCATTGTACAAATAACCAAATAGAGCATGGGATCACTGGTAAATTAACTAGAGTTTCCATTAGCAACCAAATTGAGACAGTAGTCAATTCCTATGAATCAATAGCCACATGCTCAACTGTCTCCCACAATCTGAATCTGATGTGAGTCCATAAAAATGGATTTTAGTTGGTCTTGTCTTGTAATTAACAATCAAATTCCCAGTTGATGATTAAGGCCTGCCTATTTAAGGGGTTTTAGGTTTTTGGTGATTTAGTTTTACAGGCTCTTTAAAGAAAAGGAATTTTCATTTTTTTTTTAATAATGAGAATTAGTTGTGGGACTCACTCTACATCAAACTTCAATGATCTGAACTGTCTATTTTGTAAGTCTTGATTCATAAATCATTCTTGCAAAAATTCAATTCATTCCAAACTATTTGCCTATTTAATTATCACAATGAAATTTCATTATTTTTTATAAAACAAAGTGTTTGTCAATTTCTTTAGACTTAATTAGATGTTTCAAATAATTCTGATTTGGCTAATATTTTGTAAAAAAAATCTAAGAGGTGTAACTTAAAAATAAACAATTCAAATGGTTAAAGTTCGTTGTGATGTGAGCTCCACAATTAATCCCCTATAATC